CAGCCGAGGCTTTCACTAAGGCCGAGTTCCAGACCAACCATGTCATGAATGACACTGGCTTATTTGGAAAGGGGGTGGGGGTAACAGTGCCTGCCCTGATGTAGTAAACACACAGAAGGTGTTTAACAAAGATTTGCTGAATCCTAGTCCTGGGTGTATCGAGTCTGGCCCAGAGACTATCCTCTCTTCCCCTCCGTCCTCTGGCAGTAAGCACGGGGGTATAAAGGTGCTGGTTCTTAAGGGACTTGGGATCCAGCCTCCCAGCTAATCTGCTGGGCCTTCTCTGGGCCTTGGTCCCAACTGCAGAATCGTTGGAATAAGTGAATGAGCCTGGAGCTTAGTAGGCTCTTCATGGATTAAGTCAAATCCTGGGGCTTGAAGAAGGCATCCTCCACCTAATTTGTCCTTAGAAGGGCATCCGCCACCTAATTTGTCCTTCTGAAACCAGGAATGGCATTGACTTGCCGGAATAATTTCCTTTGGAGATGTCATAAAAAGCTCAGAGGCAACACCAGATGGGCTTACCTACCTACTAACTGCTTTTTCAAAAACATGATTTTAAAAAAAATATCGTTTGATATTTACCAGTGCCTTTACCAAACCCAAAATTTTCATGTTACTTTTTTCAAGCTAATCTTCATGGTAATTCTATGAGATAGTATTATTGTCTTCATTTTACAAATGAGGAACTGGAGACTCATGAAAATGAGTGACTTTTCCTGAAGTGATAGATTTGGGACCAGAACCCAGTTCACCCATTTGCTTCTGTGGGGACTGTTCAAAGGAATTGGGAGAGTTCACCCAGGAAAAGAAAGCAGACTCGGGAGGGTAAAATCCATACGTTCTAAACCCACAGGAATAGAGAAAGGGTTTTCTGTGATTTATGCAAGCCCCATATAAAATATACCCCTTTGTCCTGGCCTGGTAACTTAGTTGGTGGTTAGAACATTGTTCCAATATGCCAAGGTTGTGAGTTTAATCTCGGGTCAGGGCACATATAATAATTAACCAATGAATGCATAAATAAGTGAAACAACAAATCCATCTCTCTCATCAATCAATAAGTAAATTAATTGAAATATACTCCTTTATACCAGGTTAGGTACTTTCAGAGCCCTGCTCCTGAAACTCAGACAATCACCATGTTACTTGAAATTGTTTGGGGGAGTCAAAACCGGTTTGGCTCAGTGGCTAAAGCGTTGGCCTGCGAACTGAAAGGTCCCAGGTTAGATTCCGGTCAAGGGCATGTACCTTGGTTGTGGGCACATCCCCAGTGGGGGAGGGTGTGCAGGAAGCAGCTGATCGATGATTCTCTCTCATTGATGTTTCTAACTCTTTATCCCTCTCCCTTCCTCTCTGTAAAAAAATCAATAAAATATATTATTAAAAAAAAAAAAAGATATTGTTTGGGGAGATGCCACAGAGCTGTCTTATGGCCACAGAGCAGCTTGCACTGCGGCCCCAGAGACAGAACTGGGACAGATCTCGGCTGTATCTAGGGAAGGAGGTTTCCCAGGCAGAGCTGCACCTGGAGGGGATGCGCTCCCCCATCCCAGGGGCTGTGCAAACAGGTGCTGGCTCTCTTCCTTAAGGAGGCCACCCTGGAAAGGAAGGAATATCAGCTACCATTTATGTTGCCTCGTCCATGTTCCAGGCATTGAACGAGGCATGTCACTTATATCGTTTCCAACCCTGACCACAACCCCTCATAATACATATGACCCCATTTCACAGATTTCACAGACTGAAGCTCAGAAGTGAAATGACCTGCCCAAGGTCACACAGCTAGGACAGAAAAGCCAGGGGTGGCCCCTGGCTCCCTTTGGCTCTGGAGCTGGGCTTTCCCTGCAGCATGTGAGCCGCTGTGCAATCTCCCAGAAGGAACATGGCTCTAAGTTTAAGTCATAGCCAGGATTGAAGGCTGGCCTGGAGCAGGTACATGCCACGGGGAGTGGGCCTTGGAAGATAAGCTATTCCAGTCTCCCACAGCGCTCCCAAGAGAAACCAGTTTGCAGCAGCCCTTAGTCATGGCTAAACATGAACAGCACCCCAGTCAGTCCGGAGTGGGCACCTAGGAAAGGCACTCCACCCAGGGCTCTCAACAGAGAAGGTGGTCACCATCCCATCTGCCCACCCCGCCCCAAGGTACCCAGCCTACCCTTCCTGAAGTGCGGTTCATAGCCTTGTCCCTTTCCTGCTCTGTCATTATCCTCCCCTCACATTGGCACGGAGGCATTTCCTGCCTAGCTTTGGATGCTGCTGCAGACAATGCAGTCTGTGCGCTCCATTCCCATTCACCCCCCTTCTACCCTCGTCCCCTTTCCCCCCAACACCATCAGCCTGGTGTGGGAGAGTGCCCGTCTCCTCCGCTAGTCGGCTCTCCAGGCAGAGTTGCTGTCCACTGGAATGAGGCTTCACGGTCTGTGGCCACCAGAAGAGGGCAGAGGCTATGGCAGTACTAGACCTTGGATTCCATCCTACGTCACTCAGCAACCCCCTT